AGCTAGAGCTCTGGCTCGTCGAGAGAATTGTGCGCTGGCACCCACTCTCAGACTGGCGGCGCGCAGCTACAACTGGATTCGACTTCTTTCCCAATCGGCACAGCCGAATCTTCAGCTGCTAGCTGAGGCCGAGATTGAATTCCTGGCGTCACTCACAGAAACCCCACCACACTCGACGCACTATGAGTCAGAACGTACCTCCCTCACCTTGCAGATGATACTGGAAACAGTGCACATCTACACTGAAGAGGATGTCATGGAGCCTGACGACTTCAAACTGGCGGCCCTGATCATATCCCAGACCCTGCACAACTTGGGAATGGGTCGCCAAACGGCAAGGGACATTGTCAACGGCGCGGCTCAGCACCTGCGTTGGATTTTTCCCAGCACAGCAACCAGAGTCCTGAACGGCATACACCTTTGTCTCTTCCCTTCGGAAATCTCGCCGTGGCCGCGCGAGGACAACACCAATCCATACGCTCGACTACGAGACGAACATGCTCTGGGCATCCTTGATGCAGAAATTCAAATGCTGAAGAGAGCATCCACAATTTACCGGACCATAGTCATGGTAGATCTCATGGTTGCCAAAACAAAAGGAGAGCGAATGCCAGATGAAATTTGTCTCAGTGAACCTTGGGACGTCATGCGTCAGGACCAAGCCTTGGCACTTCTCTCCTATGCCGAGCACTTGACGGCACTCTACGACCTCTTGCCCAATAAAACCTACCAGATGATGAGGGCAGACCTTGCTCTGGGCCGAACCTGGCTGTCGCGACATATCGCCGACACGGAGCGGGCCACACTAGAAGCATTATGGCATAACACTACAGTACCGGACAGCTTTGCCAAACTCCACCTTGCCCTTCAACTCAAAGGGCAAATTGCGGTCCACCTCCCAGAAGATCCCAGGGCTCAGGAAAGACTATATGCCGTTCTCTCTCCTTTGGAGAACGAAGTACTGGAACAGCCCTTTCCCTGGATTCTGGCCTTTACAATGCTCACGCCTGAGAGGCGGATGGTGTTCAGACATGCTATACTTACGGCAGCGGGCCTCTCGGCTACAGCGCCAATTCCATCGATCGAGTGAGGTTCCCTCCTGGTCATTCAATAGACTTACCTCTTCCTAGCAGGAGGACCGACGACACTCACTGCAGAGCGACAAAGGTCAGCCTACGATCCCCACCTGTTTGCGTCCTATTATTACACACCAGTCTAAACCAGTTCAGCCCTCTCTGAATCATGGCTCAGGTCCTCATGCAGACAAAGTCCACACATCATGCAGTGCCAACGCCTCAGTTCAGCCGCTCTGATGCCCTCCAGCACTAAAGGCAATAATCTGTTGCCTTGAAAGGTTTCCCCACAGCTTGGCTCAACTCTAAAGCCAATTGACCACGTGAGGTTCCCTCCCGGTCAATCAAACAGCCATGCCGCTACTATCGCGTGAGGTTCTGCTCGAAATTCTCATGGAGTCGCTTCACGTGCCAACCACCGTTCACTTACCGGGCGGAGCACAAGAACAAATAACCACATCTACTTCAGCAGAGACCCACCTTGCCCCAAGGAGGCTTACCTTCACCACAAATGAACTCGCACCCATGGAGGCAAGAAGCGAGAGAGTGGCATCAAGGCTATGCAGCTTTTTATGTCAGCTGGACAGGCACCTAGCCTGGCGCGAGGGCAGACACGTTGATTTGCCCTTTGAAGACTGGCCGCGTACACTAGCAGGCAAGCGCAAGCACATTGATGAGGATCTGCCACCAGTTCCACTCCCCCCACACATGGGTTATCTCCAGCGCCAGCAAATAACCTACCTCTCCATCATGATCCGAAACTACACAAATGATGGAGAAGGCTCACCGTCTTTTAGAACGTTCGATGCCAACGAAGCATGCAATCTAACTTGGCAGTACCTTGTCAGGAGATTCTCGCAGACGGAGCTCAGAACAGTTCTGCTCCGAACTTTGGAGCAGGCCAAAGTACTACTGCGATCGGAGTTCACCCCGGCGCATCAGCGAAACCTTCTACAGGAGCACCCGCAAACGACGGAGGATACCTGGCAAGGCAAGAAGTACTTCCCCCTGGGCCTCAGGCTGCAAGACACTCATCAGCTTGACCTCGAAGCATATGACTTCAGAACGCTCAAAAGAGCCTCGCTCCAGTTGCGCCTGCTGCAACAACTGCGGACCATCACTGCCTCCACACCAACTTCGGCCAGCGAACAGATTCGAGACAGCTGGGATTTCCTCGAACAAGACCGAGATCTATCCAAGCTTGACTATGAGGAGTATCATACCAAATTGGCCCCCATGATACCGCACTATCAGGAGACACTCCGAGAAATCCTGACAATGTATCGCCTCTGGCTGTCTACCCCATTAACAGAGGAAGACTTCTTGTGGGTGCGAAACCTGGTCGTGGGCCAACTCTTTCCTAGAGACACTCTCCACCGCTACTTCGCTGACAGTCTCTGGCAACAAGTACGTCAAAGATACGGCGGTGACCACGGAGATCTCGAGCAGGCACAAGGAGTCATCACTATTGTGTCCCCGCTCCATGATCAGGTCTTTGAGGACTACAAGAACTTTGCAGTGGCGCTGACTTTGCTCCTAGTTAGACACCATCGACATCTGAAGCAGATTCTTACAGATAAAATTCGGGACTAGTCAATCGTTAGTGCACCATAGCATCCCAACGAGAGAGGTCTCCTCCTGTTCTCAGAGAAAGTCCTTCCAAAGAGCAGAAAAACTCTTGGAGCTTAGGTAAAGCTGCACTTGGCTTCACTCAGCACAGCTCTCCTCGCAGATCTTTCTCTCAAGTTTCGCACGAGTGAGGTCACCTCCTGGCGAACTTAAACACTGTCAACATAATGGCAGCCCTTCACCCGGTCCTTAGCCGCGAACAAGCAATGGAGGTACTTCTCGAATCTCTCTTTATGCCGCTGCCGGTATACTCTACCTCTCCATCAGGCACTACCACGGCAAGCAATCTGGACCTAGCCTCATCGCGTGTCTCTTCCGAGGAGGCAATTCAACACTCCGACCGCCAGGTACGGATAGCTTCGCGTACCTGCAGCTTCATGAAACTGCTAACGGAGAAGACTCACTGGCATATGGGAGAACTACGGCTATATCTTCCAACAACTGCACCTCGGCAGCTGGCAGAAAAAAGAAAGCATGACGAGATGATGCTGACTGAGCCCCGTGCAGACATTTTGACATACCATCGAAGGCGCCAGCTCCTCTTCATCTCTCAGGCGATTCGGGACTATACTAATGATGGTCCTGGGCATAACTCATTCCAGCTTGAAGATGCAGAGCCAACTGTCCAGCGAATCTGGACGTACTTGACGCGCCACTTTGGCCAAGGGGAGGTGAACTTTATGATAGCCAACACCCTCGCACATCTCCACCTCTTGATGCGATCGTCAACACCACGTCTCCTATCGGGCATTGAGCAATCACAGCCATCACATGTCCCGGGACAAGGCTTGGACTACTTCCCCTCCAACCTCCATCTACAAGATGACAACCAACTGGACCTTCACTACTTCGACTTGCAGGCACTCAAAAGAGCCTCCACAGTATACAGGGTGCAGCAGTTACTCAAACTGTCTTCCTCCACCTCAGAGGGGGCATCTTCGGTGAAGAACGGCTGGCGCTTTCAACACCAAGACCAACATCTCAATGCTCTGTCTTATGATCAACATCTTCTGGCCCTGCTGCCCTATCTTCCGAACTACCAGGACCAAATTCGAGAGGACCTGGTCACATATCGGAAGTGGCTGCTTAGAGAAATGAAAGCAGAGGAAATTGCCTGGATCCGATCCATGATCAAAAGGAAGCAGTGATCTCCAGAGGCGAACTCCTGGAGCTCTTCGAGGAAGCCTTGCTCAAGCAGATTAATTCTGCATTCCAAGCCAGCGCTAGACCTCCCAATCCGGAGGATCATCCTCAAGACTTCCAGAATAGCATGGCTCTTCGCTTCTATCAAATCATCAACCCATTGTACGACGATGTCTATGAGGAGTACAAGCCGTATGCAATAGTCTTTAAGATGCTCGCTTCCTTTCATCGCAAACAAGTCCAGTCCCTAATTCGGGCTCGCGAAGCAGCAATTCTGGCTTCCCCATACCGCACCATGAGCCTGGTTCCAGTATGCGAGTGAGGTCGCCTCCAGCAAGCTGAACCATTCTTCCTAAGTGCCTGAACAGTCCTAACAAAGGACTTGCTCCAGTATTCAGACAATCGCTCGCACTGCAGAAGAAAAGCCTCAATGCCTCTTTACACATAAGTGCCAGCCTGCATGGCCGAAGCTCTTCGACTGTGCCCGCCTGCCAGCCTGCCTGCTGAGGTTGAAGACCAATCTCGCAGAGACGTGTACAGAAGTGCAACTCACGTGACTTGAAGAAGATAAGAAATCGGTCGATCAGGTCCCGAACGACTAGGTCACTCAATTTTCACCCTCGATGCCCGCCAAGGTGTGGGACATAACCCGCACATGCGTCCGAAATGAAATGAAATGTTGTTGTTGTTGTTGTTGTTGTTGTTGTTGTTGTTGTTGTTGTTGCTGCTGTGCTTGCTGCCGTTGTCCTGCTGCTGGTGGGCGTGCCCGGCTGTGGGCGACAGCCCGTTAGATTTAGGGTTCGGGGTTCGGGGGTTCGGGGTTCAAGGTGTAGGGTTTGGAGGTGCGAGCTGGGTAGTTGGGCTTGGTGCGTTGTGTCCTTTCTTTTGTTTTTTTTTTTTTTTTTTGGGGGGGGGGGTTAGGCTCAGGGCTTCGGGTTGAGGGTTGGGCTTTTGGTTTTCGGGGTGCAGATAGGTCCACGACATTGGCCCGGACAAGGTGATGCAACGTGGGATCCTAAAACCCGAAACCCCAGACCCTCCACTCAGCACCCGCCTTTCTCACCTGCGAAGGCTTGGTAGCCCGGGTACCCATACTAAAGTGCCAGTACCCTAAACCCTAAAACCTAAAACCTAAACCCAGTGCGGGCCAGGGGCCGTCTGCCCAGCCATGATGTCATTCACCGACGCGGCGAAAGTCAGACTGGGTGCAGGGGGAAACAGAGCGGCAGGCCAGGCCGAGGGAGAGGCATTTCGGGTTTAGGGTTTAGGGTTTAGGGTTTAGAGTTTAGAGTTTAGGGATTTCGGGTTTAGGGCTTAAGGTTTAAGTTTAAGGGGTGTAGAAAGCGAGAGAGACAGGGGAGAGAGAGAGAGAGGGAGAGTGGAAAAAAAAACACAGACAGACTCTCTGAACAGCTGGAAGTAGGCTGTAGGGCGCTGCGAGAGCGAGGGTGGTTCAGGATGCAAATTGAACGAGGACCGTCTCAGTGAACACCCTAAACCCTAAACCCCACACCCGAAACCCCAAACCCCAAACCCCAAACGGCCCCAAACCCTAAACCCTAAACCCCAAACGTCAAACCCCAAACCTCAAACCCCAAACCCTAGTAACCTGGTAAGTCAAAAGGACTCTAAACCCCCGCCCGTCGAAGAGTCGAAAAACACATAGACAATGTGCGGAGGGAGGGGGGAGGCAATACGGGGACCCGACCATAGGATTTTAAACAAAAACCTAAACCCCTAAACCCCTAAACCCCCAGAGCACCCCGAAACCCTAAACCCTAAAGCTCCTAAAGCTCCCGGAGGCCCAGGCGTTTCGTTGAACTTCCAGTCGCAGGAGGGGATGTCATCATCAACTGAGGTTTAGGGTTTAGCGTTTAGGGTTTGGGGTTTAGGGTTTGGGGTTTAGGGTTTGGGGACGCAGCGTGTAGGGTTTGGGGATGTAGGATTTCCCCCAGAAAAGGGAGAGGTTTGGGGAAACCCTCATGCCATCGTCTGCTTCGCTAGTCCTAAGGGCAGCCGAAGTTCTCGCAAAGCTTCAAGGGTGCGGGGTTGGGCTCAATACTTTACGAGCTTTCTGAGGGCTTTTAGGGTCGTTTTGGCGATGTCTGACGGCTTTCAGACTTCTTTTGCCACTTTAGGATTGCATGTTTTTGGGGTATTGCGGGCTACGCTAGACGCGGCTGCTCGCCTCGAAAGCCTTCAAACCTGCAATGAACGCTACCCCCCGCCAAGGAGTAGTCTCCTAAAGCCCTGAAGCCCTGAAAGCCCCGCATGCCCTAAAGCACCATAGCCCCAGAGCCCAAGAGCCCACCAGCAGTCCAAACCTACAGCATTTTTCATCCGAGGCCCCAAAAACTAATCTCTAAACCCACAACCCCAAACCCCAAACTTCTATGCGAAGCCTCCAAAGTCTTCGTCATTCTCCGCTACATCTCCGAACTCCGTCTCCTGGGAGCCCAGAGAAGGGTTTAGCGTTCAGGGCTTAGGGTTTAGGGTTTAGGGCTTGAGGCTGAGGGCTTAGGGCTTAGGGTTAAGGGTGGCATTCTCTCGGCCATTCCGGGTGTAGGATTTCAGGCTTAGCCTCTTCTGTTGGAATGGGTATTGTCGGTAGGTTGCAACAGACATATATACATATATACATGTACATGTGCGTGGCGTATTCATGGATGATGTTGGTAGACATTTCGCGCCTATAAGCTACGGTACCAAAAACTTCGACGGTTTGGGCTTCATGGTTTCACACTCTTCGAGGAATCCCTACACCGTACATAGACCCAACACCCAAACCCAAAGCCTAAAGCCAAAACCCTAAACCCCAAACCCAAGAACCCAAACCCTAAACCCCCAAACCCTAAACCCAAACCCTACACTCTAAACCCTAAACCTCCAAACCCTAAACTCTGAACCCTAAACCCCAAGCCATAAAACCCTAAACCCTAAACCCTAAAGCCCCAAAGCCCCAAAGCCCCCCTGTGTGCCTTCCGCACGCTGCCCAGGACCGCTGCCACGCGCGGCCGCTCGCGCGTCACGTAGCCGCTGTCCGACAGTCCCGGAATCGACCTTGAGGGGTTTAGGGTTTAGGGTTTAGGGTTTAGGGTTTAGGGTTTGGGGTTTAGGGTTTAGGGTTTAGGGTTTAGGGCTTGGGGCTTTGGGCTTAAGGTTCGAAGTTCAGGGTGTGTTTGGGGCTTTAGGGTTTTAGGGCTTTCGGGTTTTAGGGTTTAGGGTTTAGGGTTTGGGGATTTTCGGGTTTTGGGTTTGGGGCTTAGGGTGTGGGGTTCAGAACAAACCCTGTGCCCTGCCCGCGTCTTTCTTGGTAGTGAAGGCTCAAGGTTAAGGATTCTAAACCCTAAACCCTAAACCCTAAACCCTGAATCCTAAACCCTAAACCCTAAACCCTAAACCCTAAACCCTAAACCCTAAACCCTAAACCCTAAACCCTAACCCTACACCCTACACCCCTAAATCCCTGGGCTTCAGGTTGACCCCTGAAACAAGGACCCCATTGTCATCGTCATGTGAAGGCCACGAGGCCGCCAGCCATGGTTTCTATAGGCCCGACACCCCAGAAGCCTGAGCCCTTAAACCCTCAATCATGAAGACCCAAAACCTAAACCCTAAGCTCTAACATCCCAGACCCCTAACCCTCAATCCTGAGCCCAAAGCCTTCAAACCTCAAACCCTAAACCCAGGGCCCTAAATCCTAAACCCTAAACCCTAAACCTTAAACGATTGGGCCCGCGGGCGCGGCGATTACCCGCACGGAGAGCTTGAAAGTTTCCGCCTGAGTCTGTGAGGTTGGGGCATCTTGGGCGGAAAGTCTGGAGCCTGGTTAGCTGTGGGGTTTAGGTTTAGGGTTTAGGGTTTAGGGTTTAGGGTTTAGGGTTTAGGGTTTAGGGTTTAGGGTTTAGGGTTTAGGGTTTAGGGTTTAGGGTTTAGGGTTTAGGGTTTAGGGTTTAGGGTTTAGTTTAGAGTTTAGTAACTTTGGGGTTTACGGGGGGTTTTTTTAGGGTGTAGGTCTGAAGAGTTTTCCCCTTTTACTAACAGTCCGTAATGGGGATGACATTAACCCTATAAAATCCCTACTTATAAGGACGGATAGGGGGTTACACGTTGATATCTGACCGTGTGGCAGTGGCCCTGTACGTTTTAGGGCATACACGGCAAGTACGGTAAATTACAGGACTTCGTGCATGTGGCTGTGGAAATGGAGGGATTCGTGCATTTTGGGAATCCAGGAACTAACACTTAGGGCACTCAAAATAGCATACTTTCCCCAAGTGATCCACGACGTCCGCTTGGGGCCCCCAGCTGTAGATGTGTTCGATGAGACGCACATTTTATACAAGAGGCAAAAACGCTGCAAATAGCAGGGTTTTGGGCATGTTCGCAAAATTGCATGAACACTTGTGACAGCGCCTTGCGTTGCTGAACATCAAACATCCTCCTGCAACATGCTGCATGAAGAGGCAAAAACGCCGTAAATAGCAGGGTTTGGGGATGGTTAGAGTCAAATTGTCGTAACCAACCCCCCCCCCCCCCTCCTGCCCCCCCCCCCCCCCCGCCCAACAAAAGAGCACTCTCTCCAGACCGGAAATTTCAAGAAAACCACACGGGCAAATAGCAACGTGTCAGGGGATAGGGCTTAGGGTTTCCTCAAGGGGAATCAGGGTTGAGGAGTCTCAGGCCGTCCCATGGTGTGCTAGAATAGGGGTTAAGGGGGTTAGGGTTTTAGGGTTTAGGGTTTAGGGTTTAGGGCTTGGGGCTTACGGCTTAGGGTTTCGGCAACTCTGAACCTTGAACCCTAAAATCCTAAATCCCCAACACCCATCTTGAACCCTATAACCCTAACACCTTGAACCGCACGCAGCGTGGTTCGGGGTCTGGCTTAGGGTGGTTTGGGAAGTTTGCAAGTGTCACTTGTCTGAGGCTGCAAGTGCATCGAATGTCAGGACCTTGCGTGTGCTCCTCGTATTTTGAACCCTAGGTGACGGTGCCGAGCTTTCACAGCAGTTTGGGCTGAGTTTAGGGCTTTGGGTTTTTTATGCTCGACCTTTTTGGGGGGTGGAGGGTTGACCATTTAGGCCTAGCGAAGCTCACAGCTATCCGACACTCCACTCTGAGCCCGCAACTCTACGACCCTAAACCCTAAACCCTAAACCCTAAACCCTAAACCCTAAACCCTTTGGAAAACCTGGGCAAGAGGTCGCCCGACACAGGAATCAACTCATCACCTCTGTGCTCTCTGCTAAAAAGGCCGAAAAGAAGAAGACAAGCCATTCACGAGCTCCGACACCCGCCCCCTATACCCTAAACCCTGAACCCTGAGCCCTAAGCCCTAAACCCTGAACCCTGAACCCTCCTTAACCCCTCAAACCTTAACACCCGCAAGTCCAACACATCCTAGACCCCCGCAACCTAGACCCCCGCAACCCCGAAACCCTCAACCCTCAGCCTTCTACAGAGCAAACCCTAAACCCTGAACTCGTCATCTCTCAACCCTAGACCCCCAAACCCAACAACCCTAAACCCCAAACCCTAAACCCTAACACCCTAAGCCGAACCCTAAACCCCCAATCTCTGAACCCTAAACCCCCCCAAATCTCTGAACCCTAAACCCTAAACCCCAAACCCTAAACACTCTAGATCCCTAAACCCTGGTTCCACCCCCTTGGGGCCGTCACTTCGTTCACCCTCCGACCTGGCAGGAGAAGGCTCGGTTTAGGGTTCAGGGTTTGGGGTTCGGGGTTTAGGGCTTAGAGCTTAGGATTTTAGGTTCGAGTCTCTGGGGCTGAGGGTTCTCTGAATCTGGGATTCAAGGGTTTAGGGTTTAGGGTTTAGGGTTTAGGGTTTAGGGTTTAGGGTTTAGGGTTTAGGGTTTAGGGTTTAGGGTTTAGGGTTTAGGGTTTAGGGTTAGGGCTTCAGAGTTTCAGGGTTGAGGGTGTGGGGCTCGTGTCTTCGACCTGCCTTTTATAGACGCCAAGTACCTCGAGGCACGGTGTAGTCTACGATCACACCTCCAAGTAGGGTCTTCGGAACCCTAAACCCTAAACCCTAAACCCTAAACCCTAAACCCTAAACCCTAAACCCTAAACCCTAAACCCTAAACCCTAAACCCTAAACCCTAAACCCTAAACCCTAAACCCTAAACCCTAAACCCTAAACCCCAAACCCTAAACCCCAAAACCCGAACCTTGCTGCGCCGTTTTTCTGCTTAGGGCTTAGGGCACAAGGATTGGGCTTCCAACTTCGGTTCAACGTAGGCTGGAGGACTGGCCAGTTCTGTTGTTTTTGGGGGGGGATAATGGGGGGTATGAGGGGTTTAGGGTTTAGGGTTTAGGGCTTAGGGCTTAGGGCTTAGGGCTTAGGGCTTAGGGTTTAGGGTTTAGGGTTTAGGGTTTAGGGTTTAGGGTTTAGGGTTTAGGGTTTAGGGTTTAGGGTTTAGGGTTTAGGGTTTAGGGTTTAGGGTTTAGGTTAGGGTTTAGGGTTTAGGGTTTAGGGTTTAGGGTTTAGGGTTTAGGGTTTAGGGTTTAGGGTTTAGGGTTTAGGGTTTAGGGTTTAGGGTTTAGGGTTTAGGGTTTAGGGTTTAGGGGGTAAAAGGGGGGAGTACAAGAGGGCAAAAAGAGGTATAAGGGTGGTATAAGGGAAGGCAGGAGCAGATTGGTTCCCTGTGCATAGGGAAATGAAGTATAGCTTCGGCTACCCTAAAGCATTCATGCAAACCTCTCTAAGCGCTACATATCCCGAAGCGGAAGGTGAACCCAGGGGGTACCCCCGCCCTAAAGCCCCCTACACCCCATAAACCCCATAAACCCCTCCTGAAACCCTAAACCCCTTGAACCCTAAACCGCCCAGCCTCCCTAAACCCTAAACCCCCTAAACCCCCTGAACCCGCTAACCCCCCTAAACCCCCTAAACCCCTAAACCCCCTAAACCCCCTAAACCCCCTAAACCCCCTAAACCCCCTAAACCCCCTAACCCCCTAACCCCCCTAAACCCCCTGAACCCGCTAACCCCCCTAAACCCCCTGAACCCCCTGAACCCCTGAACCCGAAACCCCTGAACCCCCAAACCTCGTAAGCCCCTAAACTCCTGGTCTCCGGGTGCCGCGCTGAGGTGCGGAAGCTGCAAATCGCTGAGGCGGTTTTGAACCTGAGGGGAGAGTGGGAAGGGGGGGGGGGGGAATGGAAGGACGCTTCTTCTCATTTGAGGTACAGCTTCGGTCTTTAAAGGTCTAGGGCTTCCGGCTTAAGGCACTTGAAATCCTTCAAGAAGCCAAGCCCCTACACCCCAACAACTCTTACCCACTCTGCCCTAGACTGTCTATTTCTGAACAAAGAGGGGCACCCCCTTGAACTCCACAGCAAAGGTTCTTCTTAGGTCCCCTGTTATGACGTCTGCCAAGCCGCCCAAAGGCCGCCAGAGAAAGCTGCAATCGCCTGGATCATGGCCTGGCACGGTCCAGGGTACCTAAGTATAGGGTTTAGGGTTTAGGGTTTAGGGTTTAGGGTTTAGGGTTTAGGGTTTAGGGTTTAGGGTTTAGGGTTTAGGAGGGTTTAGGGCGGTTTAGGGTTTAGGGTTTAGGGTTTCGGGTTTAGGGTTTCGGGTTTAGGGTTTAGGGTTTAGGGTTTTGGGGTCCAAGGTTCATCAGTTTAGCAGTTTCGAGGTTCCAGAAGTTTAGGCTTTTGGCTAGGTTCTGAAGTTCAGGGGTTTCAGTTTGAAAGGTGAGGGTTTAGGGTTCAGAAGCTCAGAATCTTACGAGTTTAGGGTTTAGGGTTCAAAAGTTTCGGGCCTTGGCCCACGGCCCGCCCCCCCCCCCCCCCCCCCCCCCCGCCCCTATGCACCAATTTCCGAAAGTCCCCCGCGGGTTGATTGTTTTAAGGCTTAGGGTCCCCGAATCGGCCTTAACTGGCATTGACGAGCATCAATAGGGCTTGGGGTGTGGGGGGGGCGGAGTGTAAGGGCAATGATCAACGTACTTGACACAGTGAAACTGAATGATGGATTCGGGCCTCCTAGAGCAGCACCCTCAACGCGAGTCCATTGCCGCTTCGTTTGTGGCACAGCGTAGACCGGGAACTAAAGGGCTTGGGCTGGGATTCTCAACCGGCAAACCCCGAACCGAAACCTTCTAAGCTCCGAACCTACACTGCAACTGATCACGAGGGCAGGGGGTTGTAGAGTTCGAGAGTATGGCCACTCCTGCTTGGGTTTTGCATGAGGTCATGCATCTTGAGCCAACTAACAGTCACACAAATTCCAGACATTAACGTTCTTCACGCAGATTCCAGACGTTCATCCTCGTCGAGCCCACCGGGCAGGGTGATCGGCACCCAACCACATGATCTGCTGAAAACAGGAAGGGTAGGATGGCCCTGAAAACCCTCTGAAAAGTAATTCCTGAGTAGGATCCTCTTAAACCCAATAAGGGAAAATATTTAAAAATATCCCCCTAAACCCTAGGGTTTAGGGAGCCGTGGTTTGCAGAACCCTTCTTCTCAATTTTCGTGGACAATTGAAGGGTTGCTGCACAAGACACACAAGCCCCAGCTCACAGCACGCTTTTCCGCAGGCGCTAAGCGATCTCTACATCGAGGCCAGAAGGGGACCCCCTGTTGCGAATCCCCGAGATTAAAGAAGTCCTCCATGCGGAGAACTCACTCCATGCCTGCGGCGTTCTTGGCAATGTCTCGCTCTTTGATAGCTTCCTCTGCAGGTGTAGGATCCCTGAACCCTAAACCCTAACTCTAGAAGGCGTATTCCATCAGGGGATCCAGAAAGAAGTTCGTGGCTTGGGGCATAAGGGTAAGCTCCCTTCCTAGAAAAGGAGACGAAACAAAAGAAGCATCCCTGTTTGGCTGCGGGCTGTGACGGTGCCAGCTTAAATGGGATAGTTTAGGGTTTAGGGTTTAGGGTTTAGGGTTTAGGGTTTAGGGTTTAGGGTTTAGGGTTTAGGGTTGAGGGTTGAGGGTTGAGGGTTTGAGGGTTTAGGGTTGAGGGTTGAGGGTTTAGGACGTTTGTGAGTTAGGATGGCTGAACGGCGTCCTCTTCAGCATCGAACGGAGCGTCCCACTTCAAGTCGTGCAACTCCTGGCGAAGTGCACGATTGAGGGTCTTAGGGTTCAGGGTTAGGGTTTAGAAAGTGGCCCCCCCGCCCCCCAACTACCCATCACGTCGGGAAAGCATGATACAATCAGAGGCAACCCTGCTGCCCATCAATCAACCACATGAAAAGGAAAGGAGTGCTTGAAGTAAACCCTGAGCCCCAACCCTCAACCCGCCCTAAACCCAAAAGTGCCCCCCCATGGTGACTCGGAGATTTCGCGGCCTGCCTCGAGCTTCTCGAGCAGCACCTGACTGTCTTGAGCACAAGGCGTAGGGCTTAAGGTTTAAGGTTGGTGGGAAATTAGGGGTACCTTACCTTCTTCTTAAGGGAGTCATGCTACTGTTGGGGGGAGACCATATCTCGTAAATCTGGGCAGAGGGGGTCATCTTTTGGGAGTTTAGGGCTCCAGGGTTTCAATTGGCTTCGTAAGGTTTTGTCTTCTTAACGGTTTCGTTTTTGAGTTTTTTTGTCGGAGGTTTAGGTTTTCAGGGTTTCGGGGGTTTCGGGGGTTTCGAGTTTCGAATACATCGGGGGAGGTTTGAGTCTACTCTGCGGGCTTCCCATGTGCTTCTAGCATCATGGTAGGCGTTGGCTTCTTGCCAGACTGCGTCTGTGCACTCTGACACGCCTCGAAGCGGAAACCCGAAAGCCGAGACCCTAAACCCTAAACCCTAAACCCTAAACCCTAAACCCTAAACCCTAAACCCTAAACCCTAAAACCCTAAAACCCTAAAACCCTAAAAACCCTAAACCCTGAAAACCCTAAACCCTAAAACCCCAAATCCCGGCCTGGCGGTGGGAGGAAATGCCCAGCGCAGAGCTCCAGGTCCTGCGCTTGGCGGGGCCGACGTCGCGGACCCATTCTCCCAGATCCTCCGCTCTTGCGTAGGGGGGTTTCGGGGTTTAGGGTTTAGGGTTTAAGGGTTTAGGGTGTAGGGTTTAGGGTTTAGGGCTAGGGTTTAGGGTTTAGGGCTAGGGTTTAGGGCTTAGGGTTTAGGGAATAGGACTGAGGGTTGTGTAGCGCTTGGGCCATGGGGATGCTGGAGTGGGGGCTCTGGGGTTTTGGGATTTAGCCATGAGGGCATCCCGGTTTTGTGAAGGGTCACAGGGTAAGGGGCGAGAGTAGAGGAGGAGAGGAGTAGAGGAGGAGAGGAGGAGAGGAGGAGAGGAGTAGAGGAGTAGAGCAGGGCACAGGGTGAAGGATCAAACAGCCTTTCATTTCAGGAGCAAGTCGAACTTTGGTGCGGTGCACCTAAACCCTCAACCCGAAACCCTAAACTCGACTTAGGTATTGCACCTTTCACAGCTCTCAAGGTTTGAGAAGGGGGGGGGATTCAGGGCTGGGTGTTGAAGCCGTTGGGTTCACCTGCTGACACTTCCTGTAAGACCCCTTGAAGCCTTCAAGGCTCAGAGCTGCCAGATCTAGCCACTATCATCTTTGGATTATGACTAGTGCTCTTACTGCTCTTATCACTCTTCGTACTCTTACGACTATGACTTCTAACATTACTCCTCAAAAAAAGGAGGGTTCTCAGCACCTCGACAGGAAAAACTCCACAGGCGGCTCACAAATCGAGCTGGGAGCCCCACGGCAAGTGGCTCGTCCCTGCGGGTGAGCCACCCTTCCTCCTTCCCATACTCCTGGGCATATGGCTCCAAAACCCTGAACCTTAAAACCTAAACCCTAAACCCTAAACCCTAAACCCTCTTCAGGGTTCAGGTGGAAGCAGGGGGCTCGGATGTTGAGAAACTCTCACGTGGGCCTTGCGGTTTAAGAATCTGCGTCTTCCTTGCCACCTGCTAGCTTGGGCTTCTGAGTACGGCTCCTTAAGGGTTTAGGGTTTAGGGTTTAGGGTTTAGGGCTTAGGTTTAGGGGCTTAGGGTTTGTGATTAGGGCCTTGGGGTTTCGGATTTCGGGTTTAGGGTATGACGCTTGGGCTTGGATGCTTTGTTTCCAAGCTTCTTGTATGCGCAAGATGACTCAGCGTAAATCCCAAGCAGCTCCACACAGCCCAAGTTGGGTAGCCCTAAACCCTAAACCCTAGACCCTAAACCCTACACCCTAAACCCTCAACCCTAAACCCTAAACCATAAACCCTAAACCCGAAACCCTAAACCCCAAACCCTCCAAACCCTAAACCCTGAACCCTATTAGAGTTTGGGGCTGGCGTCCTGGGTCTTTTCCAACATCTCCACCACTTCGGCCCTGGGCGTGGACACACCGGACTTTATGGTTTAGGGTTTAGGGCTTAGGGCTTAGGGTTTAGGGTTTAGAGTTTAGGGACACCTGAACGGGAAGGTTTGGGGGCTTAGGGAAGCTTAGGAATCTAGAGTTCTGTCGCCTTCACAGGTATCTTAAACAGGGAACGTCTGTTTTTTTCATAAATCAAAGAGAACGGTTGTGCTAAAGAAGCTACAGTATCGTAGATGAGTTAGGACATCGAGACATGATGAGGCTATGCATCATGGTCTTGCATAAGGGCTGAAGATGAAAACCAACACGTCACAACACGTCACATCTCATTGCCGAAGCCAATCGTCTCCCTTTGAAAGGATTGAGCATCTACTGGGTGTGAATTTAGGCAAGGTACTATGTGTGTTGCAATTGTGATCTGAAATTTCAATGACCTACCCCAAACCCTATCCCCAACCTCAAACCCTAAAAACAACCCCATTTGTTGAAGCCCGCGAGGTTTTGTACAGGAAGTTTGCGGGTTAGGGTTAGAGTTCAGGGTGCCCAAGTATGACAAGCCGACATCGCAATCGTAGGCCAACTTGAAAAGTTGAGATATGCCTGAGACCCGCTACTGCACAACACCCCTAAACCCTAAACCCTCAACCCTACTGCTGCAGGATCTGTTTTGAACCCTAAACCCTCCTTCTGGTCCAGGGCACACAAACTCATGTGACTGCGGCAGTTTGCGCCTCTGTTGAATCAGGCAACGAAGGAAGCATGTAAGGGTTTAGACAAGGGTTTAGGGCTTAGAGAAGACAGGGGAGGAGAGTAATCACAATGGGACATCTGGACATACTTCTGGGACGATGCCCGGCGTGCAAAAATCTCATCTGAGATCTGATTTGCACCCACAGACTCTGAGATACATGATGGGTCCTACCTAGCTCGCAGCAATGGATTCATGGGAGCCTTGCGTGAAGCGAAAAACCCACCGAAGTAGTCCTCGCCCAACATGTCATTCACCAAAGGCTTCTACCTGAAGGTTCATGGTACTTCTTAACCAATTATATTAGGGCACTTGAGGGCTTAGAAGTGGGTAATAAGTACAGATATAATTCGTTAACACGTACCCTGAACCTCCAGTTAGCGGCTAGGGCAACACAAGA